TGGAGGTAGACTGCCCAACCTTCCTACCGAGGAGTGGCTGGTGGCTTTGAACGGCCAGACTTCTGGTTAGCAGTCAAGTGCCTTAGGCACTACGCTACCAGAGATCCTCTCTAACCACTACACCACCAGAACTCCTTCTACCCCCTAATACCAATGCTAATCATGGCAAGTCACTTTACTTCTCTGGGTCTCAGTTTTATCATCTGTAAAATGGGTTGCCAAGGGAATTCAAGGTTCTTGGTACCTTGGAGTTACTTTACCACCTGGTGTAGTGAAAAGATCTATCCCCTGGTGAGATAAACAAAGGATGGGGCCTTGAAAATCCAATACCCATCATCTACCTGTTATATGACTTGTATAAATCACTTGATCCCTTTTGGGTCTCAGTTTCCTCATCTGAAATACAGAATTTACAAGATATACTTTATGGGGTTGTAGGAAGGAATGAATGAGGTGACATATGTGAAAAGACTTAGCATCTTCTGAACACTTAGTATCTACTCAATATGTTTTAGTTAAATTTGAATCTGACTCTGTAAAAATGTCTGTCCTCCTTCCTAAAGTCTTTTCTTTTTTAAATAATGTTTTATTGTGTTTTGCTGAAAGTTTACATAGCAGTTCAAGTTTCCATTGAACAGTTTCTACACAAGTTTTTCAGTGGCATGAGTTACATTCGTCATGATGCGTGAGCATTCTCATAATTTCCACTCTGGTTGTCTTGTTTTCATCCATGTAGTTTCCCTGTCCCCTTACATTATCAGCTTTGTATTAAAGTCATTGTTGACCGTTCGGTTTCATAGAGGGGACTTTTTAAAGGTGCAGGGTACTTACAAGTGGTATTCATTAGTTTTTGAGCCAGTTTGTTATTTAGTTACAAGATGGTCTCAGGGTTAGTTTCAGTTCAAGGTCTGAAGAGTGTCTCGGAGCAGTAGTCTCGGGGAGTCTGGTTTGTTTTTGTTTTCAGGAAGTGGAGATTCGGTCCCACATTTTCCTCCCATTGTATCAGGGCCCATCTATCGTGGCCTCTGATTAGACTATTCGGTGGTGGTGGTAGCGGGGCACCATGTAGTTCTTCTTGTCTCAGAGTAGATGAGATTGTGCTTGGTGTAGACTGTTTATCCTGTAGACTGGTTTCTCCTCTGAGTCTTTGATTCTCTTCTTTCTTTTTGCTCCAGATGAGTAGATGCCTTTCTACTTTCTTAAGAGTCCATCCATGTTCTTTTTATTGATTGATTGATTGATTGCGCTTTAGGTGCAAATTTACAGAGCAGAGTTTGTCTCGCATTCAACATTTCATGTTCATTTGATGTCATTCCCCAATTACCATCCCGAACCCTAACCCACTCTCCCCCTCTCCTTTTGCAGTAGCCACTCACCCCATGCCCCTCCTGGTTATGCACTCCTCCTTTCCCACCCTTCTGGCACCCAAGGCCAATTGCTTCAATGGACATATCTCTGTAGAGTAGGTGGGTGCATCACCCTGGGTTGAGTGGTCTGCATATATGTCTTATTTACTATTGGGCTGAGAGCCAGCCCTTGGGAGTGAGTTTTATCCCAGGCCTGAAGTGTATCCCAGGGCCACAGTCTTGGGGGTCCCACCAGACTCCATCTGACCAGTAATTCTGGTCATTATTGTGTTATTGGATTTTGTTCCATGTTTTTCCTCCCACTCTATCCGGGATCTGAGTCCATCCATTTTCAATTCTGTATTCTCACCATAGACTTGGGCCAATGGCCTGTGTCCCTCCTGTTTTGATCTGTTTCTTAATCACGTATGAAAATGAAGTCGTGTCAGGGAATTCGGTCAAAAAGATTGGGGTGATAAAAGGCCCTTGAGGAAGTAACAGTCTAGCAGAGAGATGATACTACACGATAAACTGAAAGAAGAGCTGTAGAAAGAGGTACTCCTTGGAAGGAAGATGGGGCAATATACTTCCGTAGTGATACTGCCTTGGAAACCCAAGAAGGGGTCGCTATGAGTCGGGGCCGACTCGGTGGCACATAACAACAACAAACAACAGAAAGAAGTAAGAAGTGAGGTCCTGGAGTACAGGAAAAGGGCTGATTCATTTTCACTCGGGCTGTTGGGTGTGGGAGGAGGCGCCGTTGGAGCTGGGCTGTGCAGAATGGGTAGCGTTTTGGCTTTGGGGAAGTGGGTGGGTGAGGAGAGTGTTCCAGACTGAAGAAATAACAAGGACACAAGTGCAGAGTTAGAATAGTAAAAGGAAAGATACATGGATGTGGCTGACGTACCAAACGAGTGGTGGGGGTATATGGAAGAAAATGAGACTGTAAGGGTACACCCCACTCCTCGCTTTTCAACATGATCAGGTTCCAAGGACCACGTCATTATGTGAAAATCGGTGTTACATGAGAGACTGGGCTGTACTCCATCCACACGCGCGCACACACACACACACACACACCATGCATCGGCACCCCCGCCATGTCTCTGGTGGTGCAGAGGGCCCCCGTTCCCCACCTTGCCCTCCTCATCACCACAGTGCATGTGAGGGGTTGGAGGTGGTGATGGTGGTGGTCAGGGTTGCCCACCCCCTCCGGAGCAGCAAGGGCCCACCATCACCTGACCACACTCCAGGCCTCTGCACGGACGCTGGCACCTCCCCTCTCCACCTTTCGGTTCCGCCGGCCCCAGAGACGGGCCACGGCAGTGGGCAGCTGCTGGCCTTGTGAGCAGGTGAGGCCGGGGCACCTTTGGAACCTACAGAGGTAGCAGAGAGGCCACTTTGGAAGAAGACACTTCCAAGCTACCCATCATTGCAACTCCAGCTCCTACGTCCTCCTTGAGGCCAGCTGCTGCCTCCTCCTCCATGCTGCCTGCCTGCCTTGCACTTGCTGCAGACCCGACCCGCTTCTCCACCAGACCAGGACACTGCTGACCACTGGCAGCCCGTGCAGCCTGTGTCCCCCACTGCCCCCAAAGCTGCCCTCCTCCTGTTTCTTCTCCTTTTGCCTTGGCTCCTTGTTAATTTGCTTGATAGTCAGACTGTAGATTTTTTTTCTATTGCAATACATGTGAAACGTCAGAGAACAAGGTATTCAGGAAATAAAGAGCAGGTGTAGCGCCGATGCGGTTTGGTGGTAGAGTTCTCACCGTCCACGAGGGAGACCCAGGCTTGATTCCTGGCCAGTGGACCTCATGTGCGGCTGTGCTGGTTCAGTTTGTGTGGCAACTTGGCTGAGCCTGGCTGAGTGGCTGGGCAGCTGGTGGTAGTTATTCCCCATGATGAGACTGGCAATCAGCTCCATGGTGGGATCTACTGGGAGCAGCTGAGTAGCTGCCTTTGGGATGTGGTCTGCTTCCTGTGTATAAGGAGAAGCCTTGGGAATGGTCTCTAGCCTGTGGCACGCTTGGACCCTGCATGGAGCCGTGTCGTTGCTCAGCAGCCTGCCATGCTCTGCCGACCTTGGGACTTACAATGGA